GAGTGATTTAATTTTTACGACTTTTGTATTATATTGTGGCGACATCCACATAAAATGAAACAATATCAGTGTCATCTAACGAAGAAAAACCGAATTACGTAGTAACTGCTTGGTTTTGGCTTTTAGTTTGAAGAAAAACTCTAATAAATCTTTTACTTGTTGAAAGTCTGTTGTGTATTTTTTTTTTTACAATAAAATTTCTGTCTGTTAAATAGCGCATCGAAAGAGTAAGATAATGATTTCGTCGGTACATGTTAAAATTTTTAACAAACTGAAACTGAACGTAGGCGTTAACACTGCTAATCCTGTATCGCGATATGAATAATTCTCACGCCGATTAGCATATATACAACTGCCCAACATGCACTCTATGCCCCGGCCCGCCTGCAAAGGCATGGTCGGAAGATCATTCCTTTGTATTGAAAACTGTTCAGCGAGGTCTGAAGAAATATTGTTTCTATTATTCAAGCGTTCCCTCAGTAAGTACCGGACCTCGCGGTCTGTGGAATTACGCTTGAACCCTGTTCTGGTTCTGATAATTGTAAATATCATAATAAAGTATTATTATAATTGTTATGTTATATAACGTAAAAAGTTAACGTAGTAGCTCAAAAGTATGTCGCCACATAAACAAATGCTTTTTGAATAATTTGAAAAATTTAAACGACATCGTAGTAAATTTTAAAACCTGTTTTTATTCTTCTTCTTGTAAAAAACGCTAGCACTGTTTAGATGTATGTTTGGGATCGTTATCTTGCTGAACTACAAATTTTTTTACAATTAAACGGGTTTCGGACCAATAAATCACATTACTAATTCAAAATATTTTGTCGTAGGTACTATACTAAATTTTACTTACGTTTATCATTGTGAATAGGGGTGTTGACACTCTGTATTCTTAGTCCGTCATTAAATAAACAATAATCTATAATTACTTTTTTTATTCTGTTTTATAAGTGAAATTGTAACATGATGATTGATTACTTACTTTAAATAAAGACTATATTTTTTATGATTTATAAAATGAAAATTCAGGAACTATAATGAATGACAATGCAAATCCAAGTAGTTATATAGTGACTATTATTTTGGTTTTTCAATTATATTCCCGTATCACATCACAATCACATCAACAGCCTTTAATAGTCCACTGCTGGACATAGGCCTCTCCTTAGAAAGAAGGTTTTCCCGTATACGCAAACTATATTCCTGAAGTAAAAAGTTTATACACAAATGTTGAAATAATTAGTCAAATTACTAATATGTGATTTGGAAGCAAGCGAAAAAATTATACCAATAATGTATTTCAAAATAAACATTCCTCCGGTTGTGAAAATAGCTTTAAAATGTGGTAAAAACTGGTGCGAGTCGAACTCTAGTCGAACTAGTAGTAGTAGTATTGTGCGTAGATTTTCGTGAAAACTTGTAAATACCAAAATTTACCTTAATTTCCAACTCTTTTTATTTTTTCCTTTACTTTTTTCCAAATTTCGTGATTCTAGGTCAACGGGAACTAACATATAGGTTTTCGACCTAAAACCCATAGGATACTTCCGGTTTACCTAGAATTGTCAATTTTCGTTAAAAGCAAGGTCTTACAGCACAAGTAAAGGGAAATTTCCGAAAGATAAAAATCGTGTTGACTCAGGACTTCGAGTTTTATACACCTAATAGGGACTATAGACCTCAGTATCTGGTATAAATCTTTTTTGTATCTTTTTTGTAATAGTTATTATTGCGAAATATTGTGAAAGAATACTGGACAAAAAAAAAGTTCACATTTGTCTTCGTTAATTTGTTACATCACTCCTATACACTATCTTTTGTAGTGTAACATGTAATTTAAAGAAACTGTTTTTTTAAAACAAAGTGAATACTTTTAAAAACGGGGGACCAATTAACGTTAAACATGCCTGACGAAAAGCTACGTGGTAATTTCAACATTCGTTTTTTTTTGTACAGACTCTTTACATATAAGCCGTATACTCGTAAGCTGCATTTACGAATTACACAAGCGTTAAGTTAAATAAAACGAAACGGTCCCCAATAAAATAATAAAACCTAGTAAAACCCAACTACGTGAAAAGCTATATAAAAATCTGGAAACAAGTTGAGAGTAAATGTTTTAAGGATTCTAGGGGCGCTCTAGAGACTATACCAAAAATTTATATTTGAAACACTTTACGAAGTCACGTCAGTCACGATGTGTTAGCCTATTTTGAATTACCGATAAAACTTTAAGTACTGTTTTATCGGAAGGTAATTCAAAATAGATTTACACTGTTAAATAATATATGAATCTTTTGATCGTTTAAACTTATATCTAGTTCGTCCCCAATGATTAGAAAAGAAGTGATGGTGTTGAGTAAAAAGATTTTCTTAAAATATAGATAAGAATATATAGAAATACATATATTCCCGAAGGATATATATAGACAAGTGTTTTAAGCAAATACTATTTATTATATATATTAATCCCTTACGACAGGCATGCCCATTGCCATCACCAAGCGCGCTTTGGGTCTCTAGTTAAGAATTTTTAGTTTATTAAAAGATAAAGAAAATAAAAAAGGACAGACAACGAAGGTAGGGGATTATGCTTGTGCATTCTGAAGTGTAAACAATCGGGCAATCCGAAACTCAAACAACACGCACCACTAACACATTTACGAATAGTCGAAGATGAATTCACTTTTTAAAGGAAAAGTTAAATCAAACATGGTCTATCTGTTTACGAGCTATGAAACTGCAGCCTAACACACAGCTATACACGTGAAACTTATAATGCCCCTCCTTTTTAATTATCCATTATCCGTTTCAGTAAGTCTAATATCTCCAAATGTAATAAATGCTTAAGCTGAAAGGAGTCAAAGTACTAAAAGCATTAGTTTGAAATTGAAACCCTTATTTTCAAAATAAACTTTTATAAATATTTCAAATTAAAGTGTCTCGAGTAAAATTAGTCAATATGATTATTTTAGGATGCAGTGCCGATTGGATCTGAATGTGATAATAGTTTTCTAAGTAAGTTTAGCATTATGCTTTTATTCAGTAAATTTAAAAACAACAAACTTTTATATTAAATATCCGAACAGGCGTCTATCGAATACAGGTTCCAGAATTAGAAGAGTGCAAAATAATCGTTACGCAGCGTCCATTCTAATATTCAATATTGTGCGAAGCCATGCTTTAGCTATAGTACTCGTATATTTGTTCATCCAGTTGAGACACGAAGTAAAGATATATGAGTATTGAATATAATATGTATATTATCCTTAGTTTCGTTTCTCTTTTTACCATCATACGCGTTTGTAGATGTATATACTCACCTATTATATATAATAAGTCGTTGATACTTTTTAAAAAGTTATTTATGTTCTTAATTTCATTGTAGTTATAATTTTTCAGTAATTCAGTAAAATGTAAAACTGTTTCCATGTAGTAAAATAAAATAAACACACATAATAATAATTATACATATACGTCTGCGTTTTTATAACCATGTGTGTCATAAAAACGCAGAAGTATTTATGCTAATATAAATTACTTATAAGGTAATGACACTACAATTAGGTCCTTACCAGGTGTTATTATCATCGCTCAACCGAGATGAGCATGCAATAAAAAATATCTCGACTCGATTCAATAGCATGATTGACATTTCTGTAGCCCCCAGGCGCAAAACCTGTTCGCTTCAAAAGCCTTTTGATTGTTATATACACATACATATTTATTAAACCCATACATACGATGTCTGTTTCATCTTATTTAGGCGAGTGCTGATGTTGCTTTGCTTTGTACGTCGTTCCTTTTATTTACAGTCATACATATTAAGTGAGTTAATTAATATAAGATAAATAACAAATTTGTCGACCAATCAACTCAACTTTGTTCGTGTATTTGGAAAGTCGGAGCCATTCAATGTAAAATTACAGAAGTATTTTATCAATTAAAATTTAAATATTATCTTAGCAAAATGGAAAAGGTACGCTTATCCTATTTTTGCTTCTTGAATGTTATTTACTATGGCCTGGCTGATTTTTTACTCTTTTACAAAAAATCCTGTAGATTGTATATAAATTGTAATAAATAGCCTATTCGTATTGTTCTTTGTATGTATGTGTTTGTTTAACTATTTTGTTTGTTTTGTTAAATATATTGTCTACATCAACAGCCTAAAATAGTGTTTACTGCTTGTGTTTCATATGTATTTTTACGCTGAATTTCTAACATATTGTCATAATTAAATACCAAATAAATTTATTATTGTTCTACTATTTAAAAAAAAATATTGTGTACGTTAAAATGACAGATGTTGATATTCTAGCTCCCAAGAGATCTTAGAGGCTGTGTAAGTACCATTAAGCCGTCTGTAATACACCAAGTAAGTATTTGCATGAAAACGCCAAGATATTTGCATATGTAAATTACGTTCCGTCTTTATTTGGGCCGCGGACGTTAACTCTACGTCCTTATGTAAATTCAAAGCTTCGAAGCTATCGAGAGAATGATATCTTATTCTATTATCCCTAAGAGAGCTTTAATTCACTCAATGGTTTTTCAATAACCACTGTCCGCAAAACAATAAACGCTTCTACGTACGACATTCAACAAAAAAAAATGTATATGAATACAGCGTTAACGAGGCAAAAACCGTAGTCAATTACAGCATTTAATAATGCCATTATAATGCAACGGAACCGGCTCGAAGAAATCGTTCGGAACAGCATGCCAGTGTACAGACAAGAGCCGAGTGAACAATAACGACGGCACCGCTCATTTTTGTAAAGCCAAAGGAAAACAATAAAACAAAACACAGCGACAGCGCAAAAACGACACTGAACACGCAAGCGAGCTCTCGAAAAATAGCAGCAGCACACACGCGACGCACCATGATGCCATCCGCGCCCCACGTCGAATATAAAGCTGGCACTGGCGCACATGTGAGGGTACAAAACAGCCGCACACCAATATAAAACAGCATGTAGCTAGCGCTCAGCTTACCCTCGCTCGCACTCGTGAAGGCATTCGTGCGTGAATCCAACCGACTCGCTGTGTACATACGTGGGTCCGTACTTATTACCGGTACGTGTGTTGCACTCTGTGGTATCCATTACGCCGAGGAAAAAGCGCGCGAACCAACGGTGTGTGTAATTGATTAACAGTTTGAGAACCTGTTGACGAGGAGTGACGGCCGGCAGCGGCTCCAACAAACCCCTCGCCGGAAAGGCTTGTTCATCAAAAACATAATAAATGCATGTCATTTCGCTTCCACTTGTAAACTTTATACACAACGATGTGATGAAAGGATTAAATTCATCTCTTTTTTTTTGGAAATAACAGTTATTTCATAATAGGGTTTACACATCTGTGGAAAGCTTTGTTTTTATTGTTTCATCATTACAATTACACTCTATCCATTTTTTTTAATAGTTGCTTGTGAACGTAACATGTCAGAATTCGTATAATTAATCTTTTGAACGCAAAGTTTATTTCGATTTTCATTGTTAGACATTATATCATTGTACATGTAATATTACTTTTTCAATTAATTATTTTTCTATTCCCAATTTAGAAAGCTCCGTTCTGGTGTACATTCGCAACGATGTGAACAAACATTTCTATTGCGTTTCCACAAATCGATATTAACTATTTGTAAATTAAATCCTATACAAAGCTTTCTGTATGTTTATGAATAGTCATGTTTGAATATATTTATAAAAAATAACTCAGTATGTCATTTACTCAACTCAAAATGATTGAAATTCAAGTTTTTCTGCTTCAAGTGATTCTTGAGTATTTTGTACGAATGTATTGTTTGAATGAAACTTGAGTATTTTGTATGAACTCGGCTCATAATATTTTAAATAAATTGAGTTTTTTTTCGTTCCTTTTAGCTAAAATGAACATTTACCTTTTTTTTCAAATTGATTTAAATTTCCTCTTAAATACAATCGAATTTTATTTTTAAGATTTTGTTGAACGATTTTCGAACTTTATAAACAAAAATAAGATACAGACTTTAAGAATTTTATTAGTATGATGAAAGTGCTGAAGAACTGCAATTATGTGTAAATTTGTACAAATAATAACAGTTGATTGGTATTATAACTGTTGAGGGGTAATAAAGTCAACGAATTGTGTGATGCTGTAATAAAAGTGGTCGGAAAGAAAAAGAATAATTTATAACAATAAAATGGTGTGCGGAGATGTCGCGTCGAGCCACGTCTGACTGCTTCACTGCCTGTTCCACCCTACATCAATAATTCATGCGACATCGCGCCATTGAGAAAGTGCTCTGTGAACGCCATACTAATTCACCCATTGAATCACTAAACCATTTCTTTGTGATACTCGTTTCAATAAATATACGCACATGTCGATGAAAAAACATTCACTGCGTGAATTATTAAAAAGCAAAAGCAATCTTTAGTTATACGTAGTTTATGAAACGTTAAAGTCAGTTCCTGAAATCCATTTTTACTACTCTGTAAACCATATGTTTGAAACAAAGTGTGGAACCAATTTTCATTATTTAAAAAAAGCCGTATATCAAATTCTGTTTATATTAAACCTTACTAAACCTTAAATATCTCTATTTAATACATACATTTTGGATACTATTTATTAAAAACATACCTTATTAAAGTTGGGATTCATAAACATAAATATTCATCCCAGGTAGTGGAGAGCAAAGTATCCGACTGGATTAATTCGTTGTAATTTAAACTCCAATACCAGGACAGTATGTAACTAAGGAGATATTCGCCGCGCCATGGGAAGCAAATCAGACGCGTCATAGAGATCATAGACGAGTGGGCTTTAACGAAGCAGGTAAATTAATGTAATGTATAAACAACATACTAGAAACGAACATTTGAAAAACGAATACATAAAGTTAAAATTTGTAGACAAAAACATATCCGTTTCGTTTACTTTTACTATCCCAATCAAATCTCTACAGTGTACGAGATGTGAATTTCCAAGCGGTGCGGTGACGTTGCGTTTATGAAGCTCGTGTGCACTAGCCTTTTGGGGTGGGTGAGGGAGAGAACGCGCCCGCTGCCCATAAAGGAGTGAGGGAGAGGTGGATATTTCATCGACTCTGGCTACAAGATGGCAGCAGACGCTTGTGGTTGATAGTTTATAGTTATTGCGAGCGAGCGCGACGTGTCCGGAGCTGCTTTATCACATTGTTAGCGTTGTTATCCGCGTACACCGGATTAAGTGGAGATCACACTTGAGCCCTGAGTCACCACTCGGACAATGGCTTCCGGTAATTGCCTTTAGCATTTGCACCATCTTTTTTCGTGTTTACCCTTCTGATTTATGACTACGTGCATGTTAGTTAAACTCATTTTCCTGTTCATTACCATATTTGGTCTAAGTATAACAAAGTATTAAAGTTTATGGCGTTTTAATTAAAAACAAGGACGGAGCGCGGTAAGAATTTATTTCCCCCATCTAACAACTTCAAAGGGCGTAGAGGTGTCGCGCGTGAATATAAATCTCTTGCCGGGATAAAAGTGGGAAAGCTCGGGACGGATCTATATAAATGTTGCAATTCGTGTGAGTTTCTGTGATCGATTGCTCTTCCTATCGTCGCACTATTTCAACCACTAGACGTCTCATTTATTCCTGTCATATTCAAAGCGGTTTTTATTTTGCTCGAGGAATTCGTGCGATAAAAAGATACGTTTGTTATTATAAACGGACTTGAAGTATTATAAACATCAGCGCTGTTTATTTTATCTCCCGAGTCGAATACGAGTTTATTGAAATAAAATGCGAGGTAAACATACCGAGCATCGGTCGCGAGCGAGCGCAATAGTTCGCAGATGTTCACAATACCAGGAGAACACAAAGCCACGGAAGATACACGAGCAAAGTGTCGGGCCTCCACCATAAATCCAGCGGAGCAAAGAAAGCGTTAACACTGATTTACCGACGTTTGCGTCACTCGTGACGGGATTGAACACGCTGCTAACTTGTTTTATTACCTACACATAAACAAATAATGATACCACGCTACCTAAGAACATACTCTGGCTACTGTAATAAAGTTCACATGAGATACGATTTGGTACTTCCACGAAAATGACAGAAAGTTACAATGGTGTTTTAGCAAGAAATTTTCTATGGCATTTCGCAAATCTCGAAGAATTTCTATACGATGGACAGAAGAATTATGCACACATAACCAAAAAACAGAACTTGTTATTGAATTTCACCACTGTTATGTTTATGACTTAAATGATAATGCTTTTTTAAACTGGAAAAGACCAGACTAATCCCAGATGACATCAACCGAAAATTTCTTTCAACAGGATTCAATTAAAACTTTATTAATTTCAAAAGGAATCTCCGAAAGAACTTCAATTTGTAGAAACGGTTACGTTACCAAAGTTAAGAAAATTCAAGTAATACAATTTATACAAAGATAAAACTTCCAAGTCAGCCCAAAACCTGACTCGACTCGTGTCGGGATAAGAATACAAAAAAAGTTTATAATTTTATTCTACTATTAACTTTCCATTTACATTTAAAAAAGCAAGAGAATACTGTCGCGGATTAATTTCTGTTTTATTTATAAAATTTGTTCGATAGCTGTAAATTAAACGTACATTGAATGTTATGTATGTTGTAACTGAAAATAGAACGAACGAATTTGTACTCACTAGCAAGTTATTAGTTAAAAGTAGGGCTGGATAATTAGAAGCACATTTGGCGCGGAGGCCGCGGGCGAGCCGGCCATGTGTCCGTCGACTCGACACGCCCGCCGCCCGCACCGCCTTCATTAAATAATTAAACCGTAGTACTCATGTGCACTCACGCTAATAGCCGTTTCACTGTGGAAAAAGTCATAGAAAACAAACACCTGGCGCTAGGTAACTGTGGCAAACTGAATTACATCACTTCAAACGTTCGTGTTACAATGGCGAAGTACTAGGATGGCATGAACATTTCGCAGCTCGCAAATTACAGCATTAAAAATTTAAAACCACTATTATAAATGCTTTAGCCGTATTACATTGTCGTTTTAGTGCTGGGCCCAACGGATCATAAAATATTTACTACTCAGCCAGGTTCTATCTATACTATATTGTAAGCAAACTTTGTGGTAGTCTATGACGGAATCGTGCTGAGTATTTATTAACATCTCAAGTCTATACAGATTTAAACGACAAGATTGAAAACTTTGAATTATAAATCCAACCTTAACACAATAGCATTACCTCACACAATATTATTTTAGATAGTAAGGTTTGGAATGGCATAGATTTTGTTCTTTAACTCGTGCGGAGAAGGGCGATTTTTACAGATCAGTGCCGTGTGTGTTTACACCCTGCGGTAGTCTCAAACAAAATAAAATCCACGAATGAATTTTCTCATCAACAATTTGTAACCCTTATTGTAAAAGTATTTACGTAGTGAAAGATGTTTATCATAAAAGCAATTATGCTTATAAAGTGATGTTTGTAAATAGCAATAAGGCCGCTCTTTGTACATTAGCTATGACATGATACCTTCTCTGTGACAATAATATGCAAATAGAGAGCTATCTAACTATTTATAAAGGTGATGAAATATCTAACAATGAAAAGTAATATCATAGATGGCTATACATTATAATGGAAGTAACAGAACTGCAACCAAATAGCAATGGTTTGTTATTGCGAAGTCTAGAAAGTCTAGTTAGTTCACTTTCCCGGTGATTTTTTAAGAAAAACATAATTATAAAGAAATGGATAAAAGAGAGACAGCAAATATCTGGTTGTTCCATGTAAACTTGATAGTTGGTGACATCTCATATCAATCCACAATGATACAATTTATTTCTGATAACATGAATCGTGACGTCACGACTGATAAAAATTGTAAGTTATAAGGATACCTACGCATTATGATTTTGATGAATAGATTATAATAAACGATGTTTACTGGGGTGAGATGAGGCGAAAGAATTTATACACATGAATTTATACGTTTTTACTCGTAGCTGGGAAATATTCGTAACACAATTTTTCAGTACTATATTCTCCTCGTAATAATGCTGTTGAATATAAAAATCTGACAGATTCAGACGAAATGCTTATTATAATGATTAATGCTCTTGTTATGAAATAATCCTTATCCTATTCAATTAATATTCTAACTCTGTTAAAATGTTCGTTACTAATTCATGCATAAACACTGATCAGAACGGACCGCCTAAAATTAAGTATGCAGGTACATTCTGGATTTACTTCTATTACTTCTGAAT